CCATCCAGCACCTCACTCCACCACTGCCCCTTCCTTACAGTGTCAGCCTCTCCCCTTTGGCTTCTTCTCTGCATGAGGATGTGCTCAACACTCCTCCAGCTTCTGTAAACACCCATCAAACACACACACATACACACATGCACTACACACACGATCCCTTCTACGTCAATTCCCTCCAGCTCTCTGTCTTGAACCACATCACCCCCAGTCCCCTCTCTCACCCCCTCCCAGACCAATCACTCCTTCACCCACTTCGACCTGGCTCTAGAACCCACCACTCAAGGGACCCCACTCTCACCAATTATATTAGTTTCCTGTGGCTACCACAAGTGAACACAAAGTGGTGGCTTAAAACAACAGAAATGCATTCTCTCACAGTCCTGGAGGTCAGAGTCTGAAACCAAGATGTCAACAGGCTTATGCTCCCTACGAAGGCTCTGGGGAGGACCCTTCCTGCCTCTCAGCTTCTAGTGTCTCCATGAATCCTTTGGCTTGTGAGAGCATCACCCCAATCCCTGCCTGTGTCCTCACATGGCCTTCCTTTGTCTCTGTACATCCCTTTCTGTCTCTTATGAGGATGTTCTGTTGGATTTCGGGTCCAGTGTGACCTCATTAATTACATCTGCAAAGATCCTATTTCCAAATAAGATCACAATCTGAGGTTCAGGGTGGACATGAATTTGGAGGAGATGTTACTCAAACCAATGCACTAGTGAATCCAAATTTCCAAGCCCAATGGACATCACTCAGTAGTCCTATGCAGTATCTATTTTGGTTTTTCAAAATAGAAATGGCTTCATGTTTCCTACTTATTTTTTAGATGATAGAAGCATATTAAGGGAAAATTTAAATATAGAAAAATTTTTAAAAAAGCAAAAACACCAACGAACTTACAACTCAGATGTAGATCAAAATGAACATTTTGGAAAACATTCTTCTGCACACACACACATTCACAAACACACACATTACTGCAAGAAGGTAATATATGCAAAGTGGAATATATGTTCCTTATTCTGCCTTTTCACTTAGCGCTATGGCATGGGCAATCTGCCAGGTCAATGAACACAGACCCATTCATTCAATGAACAGGTGCTGTGTACTGGGCACTTATTCCAGGGCCTGAGATCCATCTGTGGATAAAACACACATAGATCCCTGCCCTCGGGGAACTTCTCTTTTCACAGTGGTCAACAGACAACAAAAACTTAAAAAGTAAATATGTAAAGAGTAAAAAATGCTGAAAGGTGCAAAGTGCTATGAAGAAGGGGGACCTGAGAACTAGTGATTACCATTTCCAAAGGGGGGGGGGTAAACATAGGCCTCATTAAGAAGGTTATCTTTGCACAAAGAGGTGAAGACCCTAAAACATTGGAAAATCATTTTTCATGACCCCATAGTATGCCATTGATTATATCTGCAACAATGCGTTTAACCAGTGCTCTGTTGATAGATATTTAGGTTGTTTCTAATTTTTTCAAAGCTATAAAAGAGGCTGCAATGTAGCCCTGTATATAACTGATAAGTATTTGTGAAATTATTCCCTTAGAATAAATGTCTAGACCCTAATCCAAGACATCTACTCATTTCTAAATCATAATACTGCCTCCCTGCCCTCCAGAAAGACTGCCAGTTGACACCTCCAATAATACATATGAGTTTGCAATTCCACCACCTTCCCCAACATACACACTCCCCATTTGTCGTTTATTTTTAATTTTGCTAACTTTAGGGTAAAAAAATGTTATTATATTTGCATTGCTTTTACTTTGCCCTAGTTGAACAGTCTTTCCATCTGCTTGTTATCTCTGTGTATTTTTTCTCTTATAAACTCCTTATTCATTTCCTTTCATCATTTTTTCTATGGAATATTTATTGCTTTTATAAATCAGGAATGTATATATTATGTGTTGCAAATATTTTTCCTGGTTTGTCTTCTTACTTTTCTTACAAACATTTACAATTTTTATAATGACAAAAATACCAGTGTTTTAAAATAGTTTCTGGATTCCTATCATGGTTAGGAAAGCTTTCCCCACTTGTAGAATTATAAAAATACATCTGTACCCTTTCTGTCGTTTTTCTTAATTCACTTGGAATTTATTCTGATATAAGAAATAAGGAAGAGACTCATCATTTTTCTCGCAAGTAGGTAGCCAGTGGTCCCCACAGCCTGTGCTGAATAACATTCCCTGTGTCTGCCCCTGAGATGTGGTCACACCCAGCTCCCTGCCCCATCCTGCCCTCCTTCTCCTCACCTCTCTCATCCCTCTAGCACCTCTTCTGACTCCTCTACCTCTGATTTCTTAATGGAATTGCTTGCCAGGACCCTGTCTTCTATATTCTCTTCTCGCTCTGCACAGTCCCTCCAGAACTTTCATCCATATCCCTCCACAAGCCCTGCACCCAAAGTGCAACAGCAACAGGACTACAGCAACTCAGTGACCGGCCCCTCCAGCTCCCCCTCTGACACCTGCTATTATTACTTTCAGGTTAAATTTTGACACGAGGATATTTTGCACCTTAGCTAGGTCTATGCAAATCAATCAGCCTTCTAAAAGAGAGAGAGAGAAAAAAGAAACAGAGGAGGGGTGGGGGGAATCTGCCTTTTCACATACGCCCACATTTACTCTCAGCCAAAATCCAGGAAAGCAACTGGAGTCAAGTAAACCACAAACTTCCTGGCCTCTTGCCAGCTGGGGGATGAGGGGGCGGTGGAGAAGGACAAGAACAAGAATAAGAACAAGAACAAGAATAAGAACAAGAAGAAAAAGAAGAACAACAACAAGGACAAGAACAAGGACAAGAAGAAGAACAACAACAACAAGAACAAGAAGGAGAAGAAGGACAAGAACAAGGAGAACAAGAAGAAGAACAACAACAAGAACAAGGACAAGAAGAACAAGGACAGGAACAAGGAGAACAAGAAGAAAGAGGAGGAGAAGAACAAGAACAACAAGAAGAAGGACAAGGATAAGAAGAAGAACAAGGACAAGAACAAGAACAAGAAGAACAACAACAACAACAAGAACGAGAAGAAGGACAAGGACAAGAAGAAGAAGAAGGACACGAACAAGAAGAAGAAGGACAAGGACAAGAACAAGGAGAAGGAGAAGGAGAAGAATGACAAGAACAACAAGAAGAACAGCAAGAAGAAGGACAAGGAGAACAAGAACAAGAACAAGAACAAGAACAAGAACAAGAACAAGAACAAGAACAAGAACAAGGAGAAGGAGAAGAACAAAAAGAAGAAGAAGAAGAAGAAGGAGAAGGAGGAGATGAGGGGTTTCTCCTTCACAAATGAAAGGCTATTGAGGGCAGTGATCTAAAAGTGACAGTTGTCGAGCCCAACAGCCTGCCCTACAGACCAGATGCTGTCTCTTCCTTGTGCTGAACTATAAACACAGACCTATGCAACTGATTTTTAAGGAAACTAGCCAACCAGGAACAAAGTTAACACTAAGTTGGTAGCACTCAAGTCCCATCCCCAGCTGTTTGCTCACCCAGATGAGTGTTCCCTCAACTGACCACCTTTCTCTTTTAACCAAGGCGAAGAAATGTAGTTGCCATGGGCAGGACACATGACAAAGTCGAGGGACACAGAGGAAAGCCTGGGAAAAGAAACTGCTCATAGACCCTTTAGAAAGCTTTAAAGTTATTGGCTGAGCAAATCACCTCATATGGCGGTTTATATTTGTGTAATAACAGTAGCAGCTCCAAGTTCCCCTTCGCACTCAGATTCTAGAAGAGTTTTCCTAATGCATCAGTAACTAACGCTTATACCGATGCATCATCATGAGGGCCTTCAGAAAAAAGTAACCACACACCAAAACAGCAGGTATTCAGTGATGTGGCAGAAACCAAGTCAAATGTGTAAACACTTAAAAAGAGAGAGATGTCCCCACACTTTTTTAACCTTGGCATTGAATCAACCAACAAAAATCAGAACTTTTTTTTTAACTCTGAAATTTGACTGGCAATTTAAAGAGCTTGCTCAAAATTCTTGCCCTAAACATAAGGAAAGTAGCAAAGGAACACTTCATTACAAAGGAGTACTTATTACATGTCTGTTCCAGGCAGGTATGTGGTTTCATCCAGCCTTATAACCACCCCATCAATTGCGCATCTTGATCACCACTTTGTAAAGGTGGAAACTGAGGCTCAGTGAATTTGGATAGTGTATTAGGCTACTTGGGCTCCATGACAGAGTATCGCAAACTGAGAGGCTTAAACAACAGAAATTTATTTTCTCACAATTCTGGGGGCTGGGAATTTAAGATCGAGGTACCAGCAAGGTTGGTTTCTGGTGACTTTGGTTGGTCTGGAAGACCTTTCTTCCTGGCTTACAGATGGCTGTCTTCTCACTGCCCCCACATGTCCTTTCATCTGTGTGCACATCGCTGGGGTCTCTTCCTCTTCTTATAAGGACACCAGCCCTATAGAATTAGTGACCCACCCGTATGACCTCATTTAACCTTACTTACCTCCTTAAAGGCCCCATCTCCAAATACAGTCCCATTAGGGGTTAGGGCTTCAACAGATGGATATGGTGGGGTGGGGGAAGGGGGACACAATTCAATCAATAATAAATAGCATGTCCAAGGGCCCACATCTTCTAAGTGGAAGAACTGAGACTGTCTGAATCCCATCATTTCTTTATCCAAAGTGTGGCTCCCATGCCAGCATCTCAGGTGACGTGGGGAGACATCTGGCGGTAAGAGCAGACTCTTAGAACTTGCTGGTAAGGAGACAATGTCACAGAAGGGGCCCTGTCTGTTGGGAAGGGTGGTGAAGTTCCTACACAAAGGTAGACCGCAGAGCTCAGGAGGCCAAGTCAGCTAGAGGCCTGTTCAGGTGACTCCAAATAAAAATGGCTTCATCTGCTCTGTTAGTAGCTACACAGATGGCGTTTGGTTTCCCTTCCACATATCATGATTCCCATGATCTCCTAAGAGCCAGCATTTCATTTGGTTTTTCTTTTCTTTTCTCCAAATCACCAGCTAACGTCCTGGAGGGCGACTCCATGGATCAGGACGTGGAGAGCCCTGTGGCCATTCACCAGCCAAAGTTGCCTAAGCAGGCCAGGGACGACCTGCCAAGACACATCTGCCGAGACCGGACCAAAAGGAAAATCCAGAGGTATGTGCGGAAAGACGGGAAGTGCAACGTCCACCATGGCAACGTGCGGGAGACCTACCGCTACCTGACCGACATCTTCACCACCTTGGTGGACCTCAAGTGGAGGTTCAACCTGTTGATTTTCGTCATGGTTTACACAGTGACGTGGCTCTTTTTTGGGATGATCTGGTGGCTAATCGCGTACATCCGAGGAGATATGGACCACATCGAGGACCCCTCGTGGACTCCCTGCGTCACCAACCTCAACGGGTTCGTCTCTGCTTTTTTATTTTCAATAGAGACAGAAACCACCATCGGTTATGGCTACCGGGTCATCACGGACAAGTGCCCGGAGGGAATTATTCTGCTCTTAGTCCAGTCTGTGCTGGGGTCCATTGTCAATGCATTCATGGTGGGATGCATGTTTGTAAAAATATCGCAACCCAAGAAGAGGGCAGAGACCCTTGTGTTTTCCACCCACGCGGTGATCTCCATGCGGGACGGGAAACTGTGCCTGATGTTTCGAGTCGGGGATCTCAGGAATTCCCACATCGTGGAGGCTTCCATCAGAGCCAAGTTGATCAAATCCAAACAGACCTCAGAGGGCGAGTTCATCCCTTTGAACCAGACGGATATCAATGTAGGGTACTACACCGGGGATGATCGTCTGTTTCTGGTGTCACCGCTCATCATCAGTCATGAAATTAACCAACAGAGTCCTTTCTGGGAAATCTCCAAAGCCCAGCTGCCCAAAGAGGAACTGGAAATTGTGGTCATCCTAGAAGGAATGGTGGAAGCTACAGGTAAGGCATGTCCATCCTGTGGGATATCTGTGGGATATCTGTGGGGTCAATGGTCATTTTAAATGGGACCTCACATTCTTATTTATGGCAAAATATGGAAAACTGAACCTCACTCACTGTTGACACCATCCCCTTGCTTCATGAAATAGTATGCCCGTGTGGCTTATCCTCTCACATCTACCCACCAAGAAGTCTAACCAGTTAGCATTTTAAAAGCCCTTAGGAAACAATAAATACATTCTTAAAAAACACTCCTTAAAGTATGTAAAATTTGCAAATATTTACTTAAAATTTATCTCTAAAGCACTTTTTAAATGGCTCTAAAACATTGTTTAATTTAAATGCTTCAGGTTATTTATTGCCAAGCCAGGAGGAAGAAGTTAAGCCTTTCAAAAGAAGCCTGACAAATTGCTTTAATAAAAATGCAATTTCCCCTCTTCTTTGGGAGCCATTTGTAAGGCCCATAGCATCGGTGCTTGTTTTTTTAATATCAGGTGAATACCTAGTGTCCATCTCCATACTCTACCTGCCTAACCCTCGGTGGACATAATACTGCAGACCCAGTAACTCTAGCAGGAGAGGAAAAAATTGACGATCCACTCATCATAACCCTGTTGACCCTCTGCTGTTAATGGCTAATCACTGGTGTGTTTTAGGGAAGATGATCTGTTCTCAAAATAGAGAAATGGTCTGTTTTTACTGAAGTATTAACTCATATCTGATCTTTACACTTTATACATCCCAACAGCAAAGCAGGTTCAATCTGCATTTATCTGTAACATTCCACAAAACAGAGCCATAAACTCTGCCTTAAGCTAACAATGGCATCCCACAGAAAGCGTATGGACTAGAACCCTAATTCCTTAATTTCTTTACTGTTCTTCTGAGTATCGGTAGTAGTCTTGGGATCCTGCTTATACAACCTGCCCTTCTGTGCATTGAGGTCCTCAACTGGAGGCTCGGGGTTGGTTTATATAACCTGAAAATGCATGGCCAACAGCTTGGCCCCAGATTCTTCATCAACCCCTACGCTGATTCCAGTCATCCCATCAAAAGAAAGTCGTTGGGCCCACTTCTGCTTCCCTGTACCCAGCAGGCAAGGTCAGAACCTCTAACAAATTTCTCTCATGATGCTGTAAACAATCGGTGTGTAAATGCAGAAACCAATGAAAATGTGAGTGGCAGGCTTTGCGTGGAGCTCAGTGATCTGAGCGGGCTCCTTTCCATAAAACTAAAAGAACAGGGACCTAATCCGAAAACGGCTTTAAGGCGTAACAAGATAATTATTGTGAAATACTAAGTAAGTGCTGCAGATGTGAACAGGACTATCTGTAACTTTAGCCTGACTTTGGGTGTATTGGTGAAGCAATGGTTGTGTGTTTGGGGGGCTGGGGAGGAAGGAGAGAGGGAAGGAAGCAATCTAAACACCAAGCTCCTCATTTCCCACAGACCAGAAACTGCTCCCACTGGGCTGAGCACAGGGACTCTGGAGTCCCCTAGCGGTGGCCACTGAGATGCAGCCTCTGGCAGCATAAACCGACCCCCACGTGATGCAGTTTTAATATTAGATTTCTCACTATAAACTCTCCCAGCAGGACCTGGGGGCGGGCAGTGGACAAGCCTTGTTATAGTTGCATCTCTGAGCGCAAGAAGCAAACGCCGCCGGAAATGTGTACCTTCTGAGCTTCACAGTGTAGGAGCTGGGCTTCGTGTTCCCTCCAACCAAAGCTCAATCTCAAAAAAATTAATGAATCCAGAATAAGCAAATTGCCTTGTGATGTCCCTGAGTCGGCCTTCTCCCTGGGCCAGGCCCTGTCTTTCTGATGACAGCTTGTAATGGGTGAGCCTTTCCAGAGGGAGAAATGTCGTTTCTTGGTAATTAACAGCGATCCTTGCCTCTGAGCATCCGGTGGCCTTTCTCCTGCTTTCTCAGAGAAACAAGGTAGGTGCCAGCAAAAAAAAAAAAACAAACTCAAAACACGTACCTTTGTTCCTGGAAAAAAGGCAACCACTATTAATTGTCTAACAAAACAAAAAAATAGTTTTCCAACTTCTGGAAAGTGGAGGAAGTGTGTTCTAGAAAGTTCCGGGTTTATCGGGAAGCTGGACACGCCTTGATTCTTTCCCGATGGGATCATACAATTCGTTGCTTCCAGCGCATCTGATCTCTTAAGCTTCAGGGGGATACTCTTCTTTGTGAGTGAAAAGCACAATTGGTGTTTGTGAGCATTAAACAGACCCTTGGGGGAAGAAATGCTTCAATGAGTCAAAGTCACAGGGAAAAAATAAATGTGGACCAAATGCACACTGAGGAAAACAAATTCACAAGGGTCTAATTATTCACTGTAGGGCTGGATGGGACATCAAGAGCCATGACAACAGCGAGCTGGCACAGAACAGCTTCCGCTCTGCTCATTTCTCCGTGCAGAAACGTCTGAGTTGACCTTGAACTACTACCAGTGATCTCAGTCAGCGGGCCTCTTTCAAGGATGAGCCCCACGCCGCAACCTTGGCGCAGTGCCCTCTTCCTGTCCCCCGTTGTGGGCACAGGCTGATCACCACGCGGCATCCGCTGGAGATCTGAGCCGCCCTGCAGGAGGCTGACGGCCGGGTCCCTTAGTCCCCGGGCCCGGCTCAGCACGCCGCTCAGCTCTCCACTGGGCGGATATCCCCAAGCAGCAAGCCTGCTTCGCCCGTCTCGGAGGGCTGGGCTCACTTTTAGAAAAGGAAAGCAGGGCCCTTGAAGGCATGGTGTGCGTGCTGCCCCGCCGAGGCCCTGCAGGCCCGGCCCGCTCCTTCGCGCCAGGACTTCTCTGGCCTCGCAAAAGGCGACTCACACGCCCAAAGGGCAGGCCCGCATCCTTGGCGCATGGCTTCGGGCTGGTCCTGCCCACACTCAGAAGGATGCGTGCAGTGGCCTCTCAAGAACCTTCCAGTCATGTGATTCTATTTTTGAAAATGAATCAAACCCTGGAAAATTCTGCCACCAGCCGCCCGGGCATCTGGGAACTGGCCGCGTCTCATCCCACAAATATATTTTTAAAGGGGGCCCTTTATGTTTCTGACACATGGGCGATTTTGAGATAGTGATGTTTACAGAAGAGTTCGTAGCTACGTAAACAAACATGCTCAGCAGCTGCAGCGAACGTGCGTTAAAATAGTAAAGCATTCATATAGGCTGTTATTTATAGAGGGCGAGCCGGCCTGCAGGCTGGCCAGCTCCACAGAGCCGAGCCCGGTGCCAGCCGGCTCCTCACTGGAGCCTTTCTGTGGATGAACTTCCATATTTACCCCCAGCGATTATGCAACTGTGACAAGCGGCCCTTTCCAACACCCAGCAAATGTGCCTCGTTAGGATAAATCCCCATCAAGCTTTTTTTTTTTTTACGCTTTTTATTACGGAAACTATAAAACGTATATAAGAATAGGCCCACTGGTATAATTAACTCCCACGCACTCATCATTTAATTTCTATAATTGTCAATTTATGGACAAAACTTGTTCCATCTATATCACTGCTCACTAACTGTCCCCAGCATCATGTTTTACCTGCAAGAATGTCAGTGTGTGGCCTTAAAAGATAAGGATCCTTTTAAAAACAAAATTATGACACCATTATGGCTCTGAAAATAGTGATCACTTCTTCAGATCTAATACGTAAGTGTTCCAATTTCCAATTGCCTCATAAATGTCTTTTTAGAATTTTTTCTAAGTCTGCTTGATGGAGTCAGGATGCAAATGAGGCGAACACACTGTGACTGGTTGTGATCTCTTTTTAGCCTCTTAATCTATCCCTGTGGGCTGTTGTTTTTTCTTTCCAAGTTTTTCTCAAAGAAGAAAACCTCTGAAAGATTTAAGTAAGGCGTGAAAAAGTGGGGCAAGTGGAGGGTTCAGGAAGCCCACTGAGTGACGATGTGCCGGGTAACTGTGCAGACGAGGCACCAGGGCCGGCCTCCCAAGACGGTGTGTACAGCCCAGGGCGAGGGGCGTGTGCTTCGGACGTGGGCGGCCCCCCAAACCGTCCGCCCCAGGGAAGCCCAGTCCCGCTGCCAGAATAACGTCCACGTGAAGAAAGTCACGGAAGTCACATCACTGATCTCAGCATTTTTGAATTGCTGAGAATTTTTGAATTTTTTTTTTTTAAATCCTCATCTGAGGATATTTTTTTTTCCCGTTGTTTTTCAGAGAGTGGAAGGGGGGGAGAGAGAGAGAAACATCGACGGGGGAGANGGGGGAGAGAGAGAGAAACATCAAGGGGAGACACATCAATTGGCTGCCTCCCACACACGCCCACCGGGGCAGGGGATGGAGCCTGCACCCGAGGTGCGCGCCCTTGGCTGGAATGGAACCCAGGACCGTTCAGTCTGCGGGCCGACGCGCTAACCACTGAGCCAAACGGGCCAGGGCTGGAAGGAGTCTTTAGTGGATTCTTACTTTATAGGTGAGGAAATGGAGGCTTGGCTAAGGCCAAGCAGCCGCTGGCAGAGCAGGGAGCCGAAACCCAAGGCTCCTGACGCTGGTGTTGAGCCTCCAAGTGGGTGCTCTTCGCAGTGGGTGCTGTGGGCGCCTGAAGGTTCTGTAGAGAAAGGCACCCAGAGAGCCAGCGGGTGTTTAGTGTGCAGACAGGCTTGCACCGTCAGTGCCTCTTTTTCTGTAAGGCTCCTCTGTTGGTCTCCAACGCTGTCGATTCATTTTTTAATAATTCTTTGTGCGTTCACATGAATTATTAAGATCCATATATTAAAAAGGGATATGCCGCCAAAAAGCCCTGAAATTGAAATTAGGTAAGCGCTGTCTGCAAATATACGCCTGGAGGAATATGTTGTTGTCAGATCTGGTCTTCAAGTATCGTTCTTCTTTTCTGGAATCAAAACGCCACTTCTCTGCAGCAGGGAAGAGTCTGAGCCCACGGAGTGAAAAGGCGGTTTCGCAGATAGGGCGGCTGTGGGTTGGCGTTACAGTGTTCTTAAGCCGTTTCTAGAAACGACATTTCATAGCCA